AGCATTTATGACTCAACAGTGACTATGTAGGTCAGCAATCTCTGACAGCCTCTATATGCTTGGAAGGTGTTGCTGCATACTGCAGAGGCAGCTTGTTCCCTGACACACTGAGTGAGGAACAGACACACACACATTTCAACGAAATTAGGGCTAAACATAGGACAGGTACAGGGAGAGGTCATGATTATGTAAAGACTGAAACAATAACCACATTATACAAGATGAGGAAACAAAAGTATTTGGCAAAAGAATGTCAATTCAGATTTCAGCTGTTTTCATTGCATGCGACAAAAAAAAAAGGAAAAAGGTGAAGTATTCATTCAGGTCATTATCCTGCTTTTCAAGCAAGAGAAGGAAACACTGTGAAATTAAATGGCAAACAAAAACTTCAAAACGCAGAAAATATTTCCAAGTAACCAGCTGATCAGATTTTCCCAATAAAGCTGCTTCACGGACACAAGCAATTCTTTTTTTTTTTTTTCAGAAATTAGTACTTTTATTTTAGCATTATATTTTAGCTTGTCCTTACACTTTACATTATGTACTTCAGACCTTTTTTTCTGAAATTTAAAATATCCATCTCTTCTGTCAAAAAATAAAGTTCTCCGAGCCTTTCAGAATATTCTGGATAAAGAATATTATCCAGAATATTAACAAAAGCACCTCAACTATTCTGCTGCAACAGAGCCCCATTCCTAAAATGTTTCCGTCTCTTTAACTTATATCCTCAGCTCTTCAGAACGACACAATGTGACACTAATGCACCCATTGCGCGCTGCTAACCGCGGCGTGCATATTATGCACAAAGCAGAGTGTTGTGAAGCAGATCCTCCTTGCAAGACAGAGCCACCACAACCTGACCTATTCATGTGTTTTTGCAAAAATATATTTCCCTTACAGCCTACCTCAAAGGTTTAATTCTTGAATTTGTCTGAGGTTTACTTTTTGGTCATGAGATCTGGGTCTGATCTGAAAATATCTGCAGCCCTACATACTTAAACCAGACAGCGTTCCTGGGGTGGAGGTTATGTTTGTTTATGAATCTTATATTGCCTTGCGATCCCTTCTCATCTTAATCGCCTACCTTTGCCACAAACCTTCACCCCACTGTTCTCCATGCTGACTGAGACTGATTCATTGAAGTTTTTTTGTTTGTTTTTTCCGCAGCTTTAGAGGCCTTTGTTCACAGAAATCAGACAGAAAATGAAATGAGTACAGAGAAGGGATTAATAAATCCATTAATGGTCCCAAGGTTGGGAGTCGAATGTTGAGGGCTGCATTAAGGACCAACCACTTCTGTATATGGTGTTTCACCGCTGCATCACACATTGCTCCGTAGAAGGAAAAAAAAATCATATTTTATCTAAACTGTATTCTGTATATGAAGGTTTTTTCATAACCATTTTCTTGTTCCGTTTCTGAAAGACAATAAAAGATTTCCTCCATCTAAACTGGTTTTATAGAATCTGTTTTTAGCTAGAATAATTCAGTTCAGTTTTGACAATTTTAGCTTTATTTTATATTTTGAGGTATCCAGATTTTTTTAAAGCAGTAATAGCCCTTTAGTCAAGCTACACATTTTAAGCTAACTTCAGCTTAATGACAGATGGGGGGGGGGAAATGTACAGACACTAAAAACTTTCATTCTTTAATGTTACTTACTCATTTGCATCAAAATCAATACAAACTGTGTCATTTTCATCTCACAAGATTGGCTCGCAACTTCACACGACAGCACAACACAAACACAAACTGGTAGTTCCTCTCAAATGGCTGAGCAACAAAACAGAGAGCTTCTTTTGGATGTTTCAAACGTTGGTAACATGCCAAGTAAAACCAGGTAAGAGCCTTTGGGACTAACTTTAGTTTAAAAAAAACCCAGTCTAATAGGGAAACCCAAAGGATGACATTATGTTCTGATGCTGGATGCTACAGAGCTGGAGCTACAAAGCCAATAGTTAGAACCCTGGCAAAAGCATCTTAAACACTGAAGCTCTCATGTTTGAGAATGTTTTAAAAAGGTTGGGGAAGTGCCTGTTTGCTTCAGGGAAGAAAAAATACATTGCAGATGATGTAAGCTAACATTATTTAAATATAAGCAACTTTTTAAAAGTCCCATTATGGTATCTACCATATTTTCCCCACCAATTAACAACTCCATTTGAAAATAAATTCACATTGAGAAACCTCCATTGGCAGATGACTACCTTAGATGAGGAATGGTTAAGCGATGACATGAACAAGTGATTTTTTTTTTTTTTACTTGTACTTTTGTACCAAACACACTTTTTTTGTCCAACAAACATAACAAATATTGTCAGTTTCTTAGGCTTCAGAAAAAACTCGATACAAAACATGGTGAGTAAAGCAATGCCCTTGCAAACTTTTTTTTCCTATTTTAATAATTCCTATAGACAGTTTTTATGTTTAGCAACCTGACTATGAATGCAGTGACTCCAAAGTTTAATCAAGATGGGGTTTGTTCTCCAAACATTAAACACAGAAGAAATGAAAACAGAGGTTAAGTCTATGGCAGGGAAATATACAATGTGAGGATGTGGTTTATCACAATGACCAGCAGTAAAAGCAGAGAAATGCTGCTTTAAAAGGGCATTTTCTCTCTTCAGATTAGGAGTGACGGGTCTACAGCTTTGACACAGACTGCTTTGTCATCCTTAAGGACAACCGAGTCACAAGGTAGAGAAATGATGCCTTATGAAAAAAAAAATTAAAAAAGATAATGATGGATTAGCTTTAATAGCAGAACTCCTCTAAGACAATTAAGAGAAATGACATTGCTAAATTTATCATTACTCAAGGGCAATTTCTCTCAAAACTTCTGAGGTCCACTGTGGGATCATCACTACTGTGATATGTGCTACTACAAAGAAGGAAGACAAACAACTGTCTTTCTCAAAAAAGAAAAAACACAGGGTCAAAGTAGGCGTAGCTACTAAAAAAGCGAGATAATGATGACTGCACTAAGTGTAGTGTTTGGCTCTGTATGATCCTGACCCACATACACACTGAAGGGATCATTTTTTTAAATAAGACTCTCCGCCTCACAACCGCCAATGTACCCAGAGAGAGCATGGCAACTTCAGTTTGAAACCTGTTAATAACAATTTAAATTTAAAACGTTATTGCTAGCAAGATGACACTTTTATAAAAGATAATCATTAAAAATAACAAGATCACCTTTACAATATAAGCTAACAGTGTTTTAAAACTACAGGGGGTTAGCTCAAAGCAGCTGAAAGCTAGCTGACTGCCAGAGCAGAGCGACTGCCTAATTAACCAGCGAATATCTGGTTGGTTTTTGCGTTTTTTATATTACTCAACAAACAGCAGAACAAGAAAAACAAAAGTTGACCATAATATTCTGGCACAATACACTGCTAATATTCGACATCATGCAGTTCTGATTTTCCATTGAAGTCAAAATGAAATGAGCTCCATCTGCGACATGGAAGTTTCTGAATTTAAACCCCACAGCAATATTACGCTTTCTGTCACACTTTGGCTATTTTTCTAGTTAATGGTGTTCTGTTTAGCCCTGCAAGCAAGTCACACATATTTTTGGTTCTGTGCATGGTTCTTTAGGATAGGTAGGTTCATAAATCTAAATCTTGCATGAGAACAGCTCACAGTGCCATAAGGCAGGAGCTCCTAACTAGTGCCTTGTGGGTCCTTGCTTATCATCAGCAGCATTTTTTGTGTTGCAAATATTCCCACAACAGTCTTTGATGTAATTACTTTCCAAACAGCTCCCCTCCAGCCAATATCCCGCTCTAAATTCACGGCTCGGCTTGTTTGCCACGTCACTGGAGCACACACATTTTTCATTTGTTGCCCCACAGAAAACAAAGATGGTGCACGTCCACTGAGAACAGGGAGAGGATTGAGCTATAATCAGCACTACTGTATGATAGAGTATAAACAGGTACAATGCAGACTCCTGAGGGCAGGCCAGAGGACAGTCTCTCATAAATACAAACCCCCAAAAATGCTATGGTCCATTATTAAACCTGGTGAAAAAGGAATGAATGGTTTCCTCAGAGAAAAGAAAGCATGCCAACCAACCTGTAGTGCTCTTCATTACACGGAAACAAAGCAGACAAAGAGGAAAAAAGAGAGATCAATCTACTTTAATGTTCTTTCTTTTCCAAACAAGAAACTTGTATAACTTCCTGTTTTCTGTCATACCAGCACTCTGTAAAGGTAAAACTTTAATTTAATCATGTCTTGTGATTTAGAGTTGATAACCCAGGGGCAGTTCAGTCATGTGATAAATAAATATATCACACTAAATTAAGAACGACTGGTGCACTGTAAAAAAAAAAAAAAAAAGAAAAAAACCTCCTCCCAATTTACCCCCCAAAAAACTGAGGCAAAAATTTCACCAAATGCTTTTGGTAAAGAGCATCTAATGTCAACAGCTCTGAAACACCAAAAGAAATTAGATCAAATTTACCTAAAGTTTGTGATTAAAAGCTACCAGTGCTAATTCAGTACTAATTACCTTAGAGATTTGAGTAACAGGGATGTTTATTTTTCAATTAATAAAGACAATGAACCATTACTGACCTCTGAAAATGTTCCACAGGAATGCAGAACAACTTTTCTTTAATTAACCATATGCTCAACAAATTAACAGAGGCCACAAAATGATCATAAATGCTTAGTTTCAAGAATCGCAATCATTGGTATTAAAAAGACACTATGACACTATGTCTATGACGGTCTCATGAAGAGGATAATTTTCTTGACTTTATATAAAATCCCTCATTGCACAGTCATTTCTAGAGGTCCCATATTAGTCCCCAGAACAAGACCAGGAAAAGAACCAGGTCAGAACCAAGACAGAACCAGGAGAGCCTTCTTTCCTGGTTCTAAAAAAAGCTCATCAGGTTGTTGAGCTTTTCTCGGGTCCCTGGATCTGACACTACTTCGTCAAAAGATGGCAGAAGAAGAGATGACATTTTCGACAATGTACTTACAGAAGACTGAATGATCTTAGCTTCCTCAGTGACTCCAGTCTGCCCTCTCCCTTCTTATAGACGGCTGCTCTGGTACATCTCCAGTCAGGCCTGTTGTCCAGATGAACACAGGAAGTTCAGTAGCACTTCTACTTACAGTTACAGTTTTTCAGAAATAATTTTACCTCTGCTGGCTGGCAGCTTCTTGAGGAGTCCAGATATGGAGGTTGGTGCATATCTGTAAATAGAGACAGAAGCAACATTAGCTAACTTAGCCATTATGGCGAAACAGCAGTCCTGTGAAAAAGGTGAAACACTCCCATCAACCCCACAGACACTTTTTTTTTTTTTTTTGCTTCACCACCACAGAGTGTTTTCTATCTTCAAACTAATAACTAACGAAAATGCGGTAAATGTAAGGAATGTCTAACGTCAATACCGACAGTAATGTCGGCCACTGCATCCTAACAAACCGTACCGAGTCAAGACCATGCGGTGCCAGTAAACAGTCGGCACCAAATAACGCAGCGCAAGTTCGTGTGAACGTAAACAGCCCTCCATTCCCCCCTCACTCCCAAAAAAAGCCACCATAGTAACTAATTCAATGTTTCTGCTTCAAATGCGTAAATGGTACATTACATAAAGTGCTCTGACAACTCTTATGAACCATAAAATAAGTCAACATTCACATTACGGGCAGAAAATAAATAGTAGCTTTACCTACATTGGACACAGAAGATCCACTGTGGATGGCGGGTTGGCCGTTACACCGAGTGTCGGTACCTCTTTGAACTCCAGCGTAGACCCGCCGGTAGCCCGCAAACGTAATTTCTGGCGCATGCGCATAATGCAATGTACGATCAAATAAACTGGGGGTAAATATTATATTGACTACCAGGAAAAAAAAAATATTGTCCAATCAACATTTTTTTTTGTAAATCCCGCATTCTTTGTAAGGTAATAAAAGGTTTTATGCACTTACTTTGTCTCTTCCCATAAAATGTGTTATAACTGATGAACGCAATTATTATGAATTAGAAAAAAATACGTACAAAAGTCCCACCGCTTCAAATGTGGTACCATTGAAAAGCCCTAAATGTCCTCTCCAGATACCAAAAGGAATTAATTCAGTAGAATGCAGGGGGTGGGAGATATTTAAGTTTAGAAATGTCCTCTACAGAGGACAAAAATGAACTACTGGTAGTCAGGAGGATATTGTATTGTGTTGAAATTTTTACTGTCCACACACAAGTAGTGGTGTTAATAGGATTTATCCATTACGATGAAGCTGATTTGATGCCTAATAAATATATATTCCCAAGGGAGAATATACAACTCCATTCTCTTGCTGTTACTCTGACACACAGTGCTGAGCCTAATGTGTATTTTTACGTCTGCAAATATTTCTTATGCTGAAAATGTAACAACGTTTTTTAGTGTTTTACTTTGGTAACAAAAACATCATTTGAACTCTGCTTGAAATCATTCCACCACCACTTTATTAGGACTTCAAAGAATGAAGAGCATAATAAATAAATAAATAAATAAATGGTCAAACGAAATAATGAAATCTACCACGTGTAGAGTTTATAAAGATATAAATCAAAAGAAAATGTCTTATTTTAATACAAGTAATCTGTTTTGGGAAGACTTTGTGACTCAAATCCAATTCTAAGCACTGAAACCAAATTACCATTTTGAATAATCACACATAATGTATCCTAATAGAACACATTATCACATTTCAGTGGCCAATGTTTGTTTAATCTTGGGGGGAAAGGGTCTAACTCATGAAAGATCACAGAATTAAAAGAAAGTCAGATCTGGACCACAGATTTGTCACTGTTTTCACAAAAGCCTCGACATTATTATAATGAGTCCGTGAAATATGCTTCAGAGGACCCGAGCGTATTTTGGGTGATGTGGAAAGGGGACATTTCTGCTCGTGTTACTTGACAAATTGGGCTCCTAAGTTTCTATTTATATCTTTCTCATCTCACAGGGAGGGCAAAATCTTCCCAATTCCCTTGCTGTTTGCCAGGGGCTTAGGGTGACAAATTGCTAATCTGGTTATTATGCAATTTATCAGCCGTCTGTATTTTACAGCTGTGTGTGGATATTATGCAGGTTTCATAAGAGCCCAACTGCAATAACACTGCGAGGAGCTAATGAGCAACTGCTACTACTGTGGTAATACATCTGAAGTCACTTCAGGGTACTCTTGTTGCAACAACTTGTTAGTCTAAGTCACTTCATTAAACTAACTAAATTATATTTTTACTAATGGTACAGACAGCTTCTCAGGCTTTGAACCAATGGGACGTGACCAAATGCAAGCAGGGAAGAAACCGAGATCTGTCTGACAGCGGACACTTTCGGAAAGAGATATTGCAGAACTCGCTGCAGACCGAAAGCCTCGTACATCCCCCCTTCCCTGAACGAATGTATGGAAAGCAAGCATCTCAGCAGGAATTCATTACCGCCTCTGGCATCTCTCAACATATGAGCTATGGCCACAGCCATCAGAGGAAGCCGTTTCCATAATGTGAGTGTGGCCTAATACTGATGACAGATTAAAAGTGGCCTGAAGCGAGCATCTTCCCGAGCTTTAGATGGTCATCCTTTTCACAAGTGGCTGCGTTTTTGCCCCATCAGCTAATTAAGGGTGCCCCGTCATTAAAAATGCGTAAATCAGACCTTAATGTGACTCAAGAGCCTTGGTGAGACACTGGGTGGGAAAAAAATGTGGTCCTCTGATTTAACGGGCCCTGAACTGAAGGGGATATAAGTCTTGATAATGATAGTCAAGTACAGTGTATTGATCACCACTCCCTCTGGTGCCTGTGTGGGTGAAAACAGGCAGGATGGAAATTGAACTGGGATTTCTTGACTTTGTAGAGCAAGCCTGAACAGAGGCGAGGTGGTCAGGATAATGTGACTAATGTGTTTGTATATTGCCACTTTGGTTTACTTTGTCTTCTCAACAGGATGCGCAACCGTCTTTTTTTTTTTTTTTTTTTTTTTGTCCATCTGACTACAAATACTGAAAAGAAACCAAAAGTTTAGGGGAAGAAAACCCAAGAAAGAAAGTTCTGGAGCCTTCCTCGGTCGTTTCCTCTTCATCACATTTCTCTTGTGCAGTCTTTTCTAATGATATGAGATAATAGGAGAGTATTGTTGTTTTAAATCAAGATTCTGATTATCAAGGCTACTAAATAAATGTTTGCTTTAACAGCCCAAACGCATGTAAAATATGTCTAAAATTGTGTCTTATGTTCACGGATTATATTTTATACTTCATTTTCAGATCTGTTGAAATCTGCTTCTTCTTCGATCCATTGCTTCGTAATGAAAACATTTGATCAAACATTTTTACCTATTCCTCAGCATTTGCTTCAATTATAAATGCTGATAAATGTTAAATTTACATAGCATTGAATTCAAAGTTACACACGGATTCAGGAAGCTGTTTTCTACAAGGCCTCACTTTTACTGCCTTGTTACTTATTTAAGTAAAATTCTTTGAAGGCTTGAAGAACGACATCCTTCTCCAGCAATGTTATCAGCTTTTTTTTTTTTTTTTTTTTGCCTTGGTTTGGTTTTTTTTTCCCAATCACTGCAGTGAATCATTGTCTCAAGACTCTTGTATTGATGGCTTTTTGCTGGAAATGTGAAAGGGTTTAATTTAAAGCCAAGATGCTTCAGTTCGGTTGAGGTTAATGATATCTGCTGTTCCAGAAAAGGGGAGTAAGTTCACAGTTCACGTTTCTGGGTAGAAACAGCAAAAGTATTTCCTTGATAGTTCTTACGAGTACTTTTAGAGTTAACTTTCTCTAAATTTGAACAGAATTAACATTCATACAAAGACATAAAGCACTGATTTGCTTGGGGTGGGTTCTCGCTTTTGCACTACCCACAATTCCCCTTCCTGTCAACAGCAAGAGAACTGCGCTCTGACAGAGAGTGCTTTAGGAGCCAAGTTTTCTCTAATTACACCACGTCAACGAAAGTTTGACAGTTTTGGCATTTTTGCATTGCCGTCGTTAATGTAAGAAAACATTTAAATATTTATCATACACACACCGGCGGGGGGTATGATCATTTTGCTCAACAGTGTCATTAAGTTTTTGGTTAATTATCATGGCCCATTGGGTCCAGCACCTCCTCCAATGTGCCACAATCCTCTGTCCATTATCCACTCTGTAATTATCAGCACACACTGTCTAGCCACCCCACAGCACTTTCTCTTGGAAACATGTTTATAATTACCTCAAGATGTTGATTTGTCAATTTCTGTTAATGGAAAGCTTCTGTTAGTTTGCCTGGTGTTAAAATCAAAAGGCTTTTACGGTTGCACTTGGGGAGTGCTATCCACAAATTACCTGTACACAGGCCGTGTTTTCAAATTGACTGTCTTTAACCATGTTTTTTCATGACGCAAGGCTTGAAATTAAAAGTGCAATCATAATGTCCTGGCGGGACAGTAAGAACACCGTCTTGGTTCGAGAAAGAAAAGGCTGGTCTATTATGGTTCTACGTTATTCACACGGCGAATGCAAAATGTGCATTAACCTCAAAATCTACGCGGCGGTGTCAGAAAAATCAATCCCCCTTTTCAAGCAGAGCATTTGCAGAAATAGCTGAAACACGGCCGACCTCGGTGGAGCAGAAACGCGGAAACCTAAAACGTCCATGTGAAGGTAAAAAAATAAATAAATAAGTAAATAAAGGAAGAAATGTTGTCAATGTAAACATCGTTACATTTCTATTAAATAGGCATCAAAAGAGTAAACTGCATGATGAACATGTGATTCAATGTATCCCAACAGTAAAAATTCAAAATATTTTACAAGACATCACAAATAAAGTGATTGGAATATTTTGTGGCTGTGTATTTAGCCCCTACCCTACATGTTGCTGCATGCCAGTCACCTGGCTGAAAGAGGGCTACTGTAATTTTCATTTACTTACTAACTAGACAAATTTTGTTGTTTGAGAATACTTGCAATTAAAAAAAACACACACAGAGACAGTCATGACGTGGGAACTAAAAGTGTGCCACCCTGTAATTAAAGTTTCTTTGTTTTTAAAAAAAAAAAAAAAAAAAACCAGCATGCTCTGAGCTGCATGTCAACCTGAGTATAGCCCAACTAATTAATCAGCTAATATCGTTTGGTTTTAGTGTTTGTAATGTAAAAACCATCATTAAGAAAATGAAAAGCATATTGTTTCGGTCATTATGAAATGTCCCTAAGCATGGGCGCTTTATTACGTTGTAAAAGTGGGGTTTGAGAATGGAGTATTTGGGAAAATATAAAGCATCAAGCTAATACTGCATAAACATATACCAACAATATCAGCAGCTCATAAAATGGTGGTGTCAAAATATTAAAGAAGACCCCTGGCGAACAGTGAAGAGCGCCGGTGTCAGTTATATGGTGATTAATAAGCCCATTCACCGAGTTTACAGCTAGATTTAATAGGAAAACCATCCTTGGGATTCTGTTTCTATGAGTGCTCGGGTGCAACACATTTAATTAAATATTGCCAGTAAACTACAAAGCAGTGAAAAGTTTTTTTTTTATTATTATTATTATTTTTTATTTTTTACTGTACTGCATTTTCTTAGATCTATTAAAACACTTAAAAGTTGGCTGAGATTGGGTAATTTTTTCTTAACCTTTCTTTTTCATAGCTCCATTGGTTTTCCCCTGAGGAGATTATGATGGCAAGAACAACAAATTTAGAAATTATCTCTAATATTTAATTTGTGCTTGCTACTTAAAATTCCACA